TCACTGTCTGTTCGGGTAAGTCATTGCGGTCTTGGAACGGGGGCGCGTCGAGGTGCTACCACCGTGCTTGGGGCATCGACGAACATGCTGCGGCAGTGCATCAAGGCGAAGGCTTGCTATTCTAGTTACAGCTTCAGCAGGCGATGCAGCTCCTACTCTCGGCCATGGTGACGTCGGTGCGGGTCGAAGTGGAGGGCACCGGTGCGGCCTTGGTGGAGCACGACGACATCGGCGTGGAGAGGCTCGTCGTGGCTGAGACAGGGTCGGGGCTTGACGTGGCCGCGGCCGAGGACGAGGCGCTGAGCAGAGGCTCGAGGTGGACGTCAACGAGGTGGTGCAGCTGCGTGGACGTTGCGGGGTCCTCGGCTCGGCCTATGGTGGTTGTCGCGGACGCGCTCGCAGAGACGCGGCCACGGACGACGTCGAGGGCAACGCAAACGCAGGGGTGAGATGGTGCTCGCGGACGTGAGGCAGACACACGGTGGCGGACAAGCTCGGCTTGGCCATGAGCGTCGAGCGACGTGGCGAGGCCGGTGTCGTGGCCACATATGTCGACGCGACGCAGTCTTGGGTGAGGAGACGGAGGACGACGCCTCGAGCTCAGCCTCAGGTTCGGGATGGCGCTCGTTGGGCGGCCGGGGAGCACGGCGCCGCGGGCGGCGCCGCGGCTTCGGCAGCGGCTCCGGCTTGGCGTGCTCTCCGGTGAGATGCGGGGCACGGCAAGGTGGAGTAGGGGCTTGCGGTGGCGAGGCAACTAGTGGCGCGTCAGAAAGTGGCTGCTCGCGCGGAGGAAGAGGGAGAGGGATGGCGGCGTTGTGGCGGCCTTTAATAGCGCTGTGCGCTAGGGCTTCTAGGAGGCTCCAGTCATCCTCGGTGTCCGTGCCCAGGAAGGGACACGCGACACGAATCGAGGAGCGGAGCTGGTGAGGGGACGCCGGCGTACGTGTCGCGCAGCGTGTGAGCGGCAGCGGCGCTGGGAGCTCCCTGCTCTCGCTAGGTCTCCCCGGGGCGACTTGGGCCGGCTGGGCCACAGCTGCGAGCTGGGCTTGGCTGCTGCTGTCAGCGTGGGCCGAGATGAGAGAAAGGGGGGGAGCCGGGGCTGGTTTGAGGAAGAAAGGAAAAAGGATTTTCCCTTTTAATCATTTGTGACTTAGGGAATTTGGGAAGGGGAATTTTAGCTGAAGCTCGGAAGAGTTCCAAATGGGATTTGAGATGACTTTCAAAGGAGATTTCGAGTGGGAAAATTTGGAGGAGGATTTGAGGGAGAATTTTGAGAAGAACTCAAAGGGAAGTTTGAGAAGATATTCGGATAGAAAAGAGATGCAGCTCAAGAGAGAGATTGGGAGGAACTCTTGTTATGGATTTGTGCACTCCGACACAAAACCCTAAACCAACTAAAGAACTCCAGCACACTCCTACAAACAACCTACATGTATGCAACGATTTGTTAGCGAGTTAGACTCGAGTTAGACCTAGATCTACATGCTTCACTCAATTGCAGGAAAAGAAAAAAAAGTTCGTATTTTTGGTCACTTGAAAAACCGGGATGTTACACTGGGACTCGCTGTTCCCCGGAGCGAGGTCACTCTTGGCAATGGCGGTGCGGCGCAGGAGTTCGCGGGCGTGATGCTTGTGCTGCCCAGCTGGTAGTGGTGGGCTGGTGGTTCATGCTAAGGAGCTCGGCCGCTCGCCATGATCACCGATCTATTGCAGGCTCCGTGGACTGCAGGTGGCGAGATCAGCGATCTGTTGCAACGGCCATCGGAGCGGTGTTCTGATTCCATGTGCCTGGCGTGTGTCAGCGGCGGTGGAGACCTGAGCCTGCGGCGGCGCAAAGCAGCAGCGTCAGTGGGAAGGGCGCGACGCCACGGAGACTTGAGCAGGGCGATTCGACGACGACTCCGCTGGTTGCCGTCGTCCGTGTGCTGCTGTTATGATTTGGGTTTGGGTGTTCTATTTCGCATAGCTGGAAGGGAAGACAGATGGGGATACAGGGTCCTGGTAACGTACCTGGTGGGTGCTTGTCGCTAGCTCAGCGTCATGACAGGGTACGCCAGCGTCAGCGGGCAAGGCGGCGAGGCGACGGGCGCTCCATCGACGTCGGGGTGACGGGGACAAGATGAGGCGTCAGATGGGGCCGGTACGGGGCAGGACGTGGACACGGCGTGATTGAACGATGGCGTTGATCGGCGGACAGCGTGTGCGATGGCGAAGGTGGCGCGAGGGCCAGGCACGAGGAGGTGAGGACGCGGTGCCGTTGAAAGCTCTAGTTTGGTTTTGGTGAATTGATAAAACCCTAAGTGCTAACCTAGTTTATCAAGTAATCTTGATATAGGTAGCACACTCCAAGTGGTGAAGCAAATGAAGATCATAACATGATGATTGTGATGCCATGATGATGATCGAGTGCTCGGACTTGGAAAAAGAAGAAAGAGAAAAACAAAAAGCTCAAGGCAAAGGTATAAACCATAGGAGCTATTTTGTTTTGGTGATCAAGACACTTAGAGAGTGTGATCACATTTAGGATCGATAGCCGTACTATTAAGAGGGGTGAAACTCGTATCGGAATACGGTTATCAAAGTGCCACTAGATGCTCTAACTCATTGCATATGTATTTAGGATCTAGTGGAGAACTAACACCCTTGAAAATGTTTGTGAAAATATGCTAACACATGTGCACAAGGCGATACACTTGGTGGTTGGCACATTTGAGAAAGGGTGAAGAAGTTAGAAGTGAAATAGAGTTGGTCGCAGTGATGCTGGCGTCGGTCAACTGACCGGACGTAGGGTTGCTCTGCGACCGGATGCTGAAAGGCTACGTCCGGTCGAGTGGTTGATCGGCACAGTGGTTAGGGTTAAGCATCGGACGCTGGGCTGTGTCCGGTCAGTAAAAACTGGTTTTGGACCCTTACCGTAAACGATCGGACGCTGAGGGTTCAGCGTCCGGTCAGTTCTGTTGGGGCGTCCGGTCAGCTTGTCGACCGTTGAGATCAAACGTTCACTGTTGAACGCAGGAGACACGTGGCCGCCATCGGGCGACCGGACGCTGAGGAGCAGCGTCCGGTCAGTAGGACCAGAGCGTCCGGTCACCCCGATCAGTGCTCAGTGAAGGGGTACAATGGCTTTATTTCGTGGGGGCTTCTATTTAAGCTCCATGGCTGGCTCAAGCTCACACGATTGGCCATTTTCATTGACATAGCAACCTTGTGAGCTTAGCCAAAGCTCTCCCACTCATCTCCATCATTGATTCATCATCATAGTGAGATTGGGAGTGATTTAAGTGCATTGCTTGAGTGATTGCATCTAGAGGCATTTGGTGTTCGTGCTTCGCTGCGGATTTCGCTTGTTACTTTTGGTGGTTGCCGCCACCTAGACGGCTTGGAGCAGCGAGGATCGTTGAGCGGAGGGTGGTGATTGTCTCCGGCTCCGATCGTGGTGATTGTGAGGGGTTCTTGACATTTCTCCGGCGGAGCGCCAAAAGGTACTCTAGTGGATTGCTCGTGGCTTGTATGATCCTCATCTTGTGTTGGTTGTGCGGCACCCTATTGAGGGTTTGGCGTGTGAAGCCAATTAGCGCGTGAACCTCCAAGTGAGTGAATCGCCACAACGAGGACTAGCTTGCCGGCAAGCAAGTGAACCTCGATAAAAAATCATTGTGTTCATCATTGATTCCGAGGTAATTGGTCTTCATTGTTATTCATCCTTGTGATTGATTGGTTCCTTCATCTACACGGCGGTATAACTTTTTTTATCACTCTCTTTACATTACCGCAAACTAGTTGTCAAACTCTTTAGTGTAGTTAGTTGTGAGAGCTTGCTTGCTTGGTTGGTGTGGCTTTTTAGTTAGCTTTTGAGAGCACACTAACATAGGGTAGTGTTATAGCTATTGTGTGATTAGATACTATCAAAACTAAAATTGTGGTAAGCGGCTTGCATTTTAAGTAGGCTAGTGCAACACTTGCTTCGACTCATAATTATCTAACTATTTTGTTAAGTGTTGTTGTAGAAATTTTATTAGGCTATTCACCCCCCTCTAGCCATTAGGACCTTTCAGCCGTGCGGCCGTAGAGTGCTAGGGAGGTCGCGGTGCAGGTGACGGCGCGGTCTCGCGTGATTGGCGACGTGGGGTGATCGCGGAATTGATCACGATTGTTATGGGAATTTATTTTTGCCTTCCTGATTTGCTGCGGCTGTTATGGAGATTGAGCTGATCGCAGGGAGTGAGTGCGTGTTGCCTTCCTTATCTGATCGCATGGAATGGCTTTAGTGTCGCACGTATGGACGGAATAGTTATGAATGTTTTAGTTGTATAAGAGATAGAGATATCAAAAGATACAGCAACATGCAACACTAAAAATGGAGAAAGTAGCAAAAGGTAGTATTAGGTGGTGGTTCATGGTTTAAAGGAGCATTTATTGTAGAATAATTATTTTGGAACTGAGGGAGTCTAGAATTTTCAGTATAAAGAGTCCCCGTCGCCTTAATCCAAAAGCGATAATCCAATCGTAACAAGAGAAGGAGAAAGAAAACGCAAAACCCGGAAGAATCCAGCCCATCCACAGCGCACGCCCTGATGACCTTTTCCCCTGCCTACTTTCTATAAAATCCACGTGAACCCCCCGAGTCCCCGACGCATCGCTCTCCAAATCACCCGACGCGGCACATAACCCAACACCACTCTCCCTCTCCCAGTTCTCACCGCCAACGCCACCACCCCCACCATTGCAAACCCCCGTCTCCCACCGGTTGCCGTTTCCCTCCCCCCCTCCCTCGGCGGCTCCTCGCGGACGGAGAGAACCCCGCTCCCTTGCCTAGGGTTCCCGGAACCCTAGCCCCGCCCCGTACGCGCGAGTGCCCCGGCGACGAGGAGGCGGCGGAGAGGGGAGGGGGCAGAAGGCGCGGGAGGCGGAGGCCTGTGCTGTATGTCAGATCGTGGGAGCCGGCGAGGCGGAGGCGGAGGAGGAGACTACGGACACGGTCAGCTCGCGAACCCGCTCCAATGGCCGCAGCTAAGGAAAAGGCGTCGGCATGCTGCAGCCGCGATGCGCCCGCGCGTGTCGCTGGCGCCCCTGTCGTCCCCATGCGCGCGATCGCCGCGTCCCCGGTCGGCAAGGTCGTCGCCCTCGCCGCATCGGCCGCAGGCACAAGCGGCGCCGTGATCGAGGAGATCGCCGCGGTCCAGCCCACCACAGCGAAGGCCTCCTCCAAAGGTATCGAAATCGCCGCCACCTCCCTCCATCTCCGTCTCTGTGTCCCGATGAAGTCGGATCCTATTTTGATTGGGTCACGACTAATGTTACGGGAGTTTCCTGCCCTGCATGGATCTTAAATTAGGTGAGGCATGCCATGGTGGGTGTTTCTGCCGATCACGATTTTTCGCGAGGTTAGATGATTGAGGAAACTCAATCTTAGTGGTGGTAGCTGTATACAGACTACAGAGTGCATCGTTTCGTGCGCATGCAAAGCAGAGGATGCAGATTAGTTTGTAGGATCTGCCAGGTTCAGATACTTGGATGATATTTGCACCACCAACGTAGGAGTAGTTCTCGTGTGCATGCGACCCGATTGTAAGTAGGTCTTGGAATCTGGGCGTGTGCAAATTAGATCTTGTAGAGGCAAATCGTGGTTTACTCTGCCCATCTGGCTAAAGTGATGATTGGAGCACGGGGTTTGATGTGATGGCTAAGGCCACACAGCCATATACTAGTCAGTCTTTGTAGCTGACCGTTCAGGACTGTGCTCGACAACAGTTGGTGCACCAACTTTCTTTTTCTTTGATCACTAGTTGTAGTGATCAACTTGTTTTTTACTTCTTTATATGACGAGGTTTCCGCCTTTCCGGTAGTGAAGTGAGGAAAATGTCCCAATTTGGATAAATGATGTCAGCTTCCCAACTGAAGTATATGCTGCTTATTTTTTCAGTTTTTTGGATCATATATAGGTCCCGGAGTTTTTGGCATTCACGTTTTTCATGTATGCGCCACTAGCATTAGCTGCTGGTGCATGTTGTTTCATCCAGTCCACATGGTGCGCTGTGAGCGCATCTCGTTGTGTAGTAGTTAGCGTTTCTGGGGATTCTTCTGAATTGATGAGGTGCACGCTACCTTTGCACTTTATTGTGTTGTCTGGCCTGTCTGCATGCTGCTACCCTTTAAGTTTCACCGGATGCTCGAGATGATGTTGACTTCGATGTTGTTTTTTATCTGTAACGTACGGGAAAATGACATTATATCAACCTTAACTTTTGTATTAAGTTTCAACCAAAAATATCATTAAGGATTTGAGAGATCCTTCTTGATATTCTCTTATGGCTACCAAATTTCTGAGCAGGATGTCCTTTTGGTGGAAAGTATAACACTTTTTTCGCGAACATGGAAAATATAAATAGTTTTTCTTTTTTCACAAAAAATCTGTGTAGTACCTTTTTAATGATGTGGCATGGATTTTCTGTGAAAATAACTATTTTGCATTTATAAATCACCAGATTTATTCCTGTTGACAATCAGCTTCTTTATTATGAAGAAGTGAAGTATGAGCAATGGTTGATACTTTTTTTTTTTTTTTTGAAAAAAGGGCAGCAAGAGATTTGCTGCAAATATATTAGAAGGGAGGAAACTATGCAGGCCCGTGACAACTGAGGAAACTATGCACTTCCTATAAGAAAAAAACCAGCTAGCAATGGTTGATACTCTTATGTTCCTAATCTGGTGAGGTCATAGCGTTGGTGATTGTCTTTGCTGTGACCTGTGAATTGAAAAAAGGACATCAATATATCTTGGAACAGAATTCTTAACTGACAACTAAATGTCTAGATCCAGGACATGGGCACTGGTTGGTTTGGTTACACAATATTTTAAGACTTGCACTTATACTGTATGGTCAACTCCAGTACAGTTCTTATCTTGTGCCTTAGAGAGAGGTGAACAACCATATATCTATTAGGTGGCACCTCTTCTGACCCCTGATAAGCACAAGGGAGCATTGCGGACCTGCCAAATTATCTATTCTGAAAGCTTGACCTATGCTAAAATTTCTCCTTATTTTATTCATGGTTTTTTGTGATTGGTTATTGGTCCATTTGTATTTTAGAACTCGTTGAAAGATGTTTGTGTAAGAAGTTCATTATGCATGACCTGCCCCATATTCTTCCTTATTGATCATCACGACAATTTGACAACCCTGCTTGACATGATTCTCTGTATTTACCATTTATTTAACAGCCTATAACCTAGAATAGACACATAAAATGTGTACAATGTGTTAACTCAACTACTGTTTTTCTTGACAAAAAAATGCAGGGATACCAATAATGACAAGAGCACAGAGGTGCCACCCTTTAGACCCATTATCTGCTGCTGAAATTGCAGTTGCTGTAGCAACTGTAAGAGCTGCTGGAAGATCTCCTGAGGTATGCCAACAGAAGTTATACATATGCTTTTCCATGCAATCTTGAAAATAATAATTTGACAAGAAAAAAGTTCTATGATTGTAGGAAAGAGACAGCATGCGCTTTGTTGAAGTTGTGCTGTTGGAGCCAGAAAAGAATGTTGTGGCATTAGCCGATGCCTACTTCTTTCCACCTTTCCAGCCATCACTGCTCCCTAGAAGCAAAGGTCTTGCTGTTATTCCAAGCAGGTTACCTCCTAGGAGGGCCAGACTTGTTGTCTACAATAAACAATCAAATGAGACTAGCATTTGGATAGTGGAACTATCTGAAGTGCATGCAGCTACTAGGGGTGGACATCACAGAGGGAAGGTGATATCATCTGAAGTTGTTCCAGATGTTCAACCTGCAATGGTATGTCGACTAATTTTGTTCAGAATTCTTCATGCCTTATGAATATTTGTCTTAGTCTGCCGATGACTTGGCCTATGTAATTGTATGTAATGGCCTGTTATTATTTCACTATGGTATCTGTTTGTATTTTTCAAACATTCATGCTACGCTAATTGACTTCATGGAATCTATGAAGAGAAGAGGTGTGGATGACATGGATCATGTTACTCCACCATTTTAAAATTTTATCTTTGACAGGATGCTATGGAGTATGCTGAATGTGAGGCTACAGTCAAAAGTTACCCTCCATTTATTGAAGCTATGAAGAGAAGAGGTGTGGATGACATGGATCTTGTTATGGTGGATGCTTGGTAATCTATCTATAAGGAATTTCTGAATAAAAATTTTCATATTGTGCTATGTTTCAGCTTGCATTATCATATTTGTAAATTGGAAGGAAAGTTAAAACTTTGTCTATTAAATTGTCAGGTGTGCTGGCTACTACAGCGAAGCTGATGCTCCCAGTCGCAGACTTGGCAAGCCTCTGATATTTTGCAGAACTGAGAGTGATAGCCCCATGGAGAATGGCTATGCTCGTCCTGTGGAAGGAGTCCATGTTGTTGTTGATATGCAGAATAATGCTGTGATAGAGTTCGAAGATAGGAAGTTGGTTCCTCTCTCCCTCCTGATCATTTGAGAAACTATACTTCTGGGGAAACAAGAGGTGGTGTTGATCAAGTGATGTAAAACCACTTATCATCAATCAGCCTGAGGGTCCAAGTTTCCGCATTAATGGCTATTTTGTGGAATGGCAGAAGGTAATTGTTTGCTGAACTGCAATGCTATTATTAATTATAATGTTTTTTGAAATAAATAACACTTAATGGTTATGGCAGTGGAACTTCCGTATTGGCTTCACCCCTAAAGAGGGTTTGGTTATCTATTCTGTTGCTTATGTTGATGGTAGCCGTGGACGTAGACCTATAGCACATAGGCTGAGCTTTGTTGAGATGGTTGTTCCTTATGGAGATCCAAATGAACCACATTATCGCAAGAATGCATTTGATGCTGGAGAAGACGGACTTGGAAAAAATGCTCATTCTCTTAAGAAGGTTTGTTCAGTTCTTGATGAGTATACTCATATTAATGTTGCTTTGATTTGACTACTATTCTTTAACCTTTTTGTACAGGGATGTGATTGCTTGGGCTACATAAAATATTTTGATGCACATTTCACAAACTTCACTGGTGGTGTGGAGACAATTGAGAACTGTGTTTGTTTGCATGAGGAGGATCATGGGATCCTTTGGAAACACCAAGACTGGAGAACTGGTTTAGCAGAAGTAAGGCGGTCAAGGAGGCTCACCGTTTCATTTATCTGTACAGTTGCAAACTACGAGTATGGTTTTTACTGGCACTTCTATCAGGTAAGTATTTCATTGGTTTTCCTCTTATAATGTCAGAAAGTAAGTAGCATTTACCTACAATGGCCAATATATATTATATTATCTATATAAGTTTGCTTAGTTATGCATGAAAGAGTTCCAATTTCGATACTTGAAAGATCACAGTTCACTGATGGTTTTAGTGATTGAATGTTACTTAAAATTTTCTGAAGCTTCAATTTTTTGTATTTATTTGTTGATCCTCTTGGTTGCAGGATGGAAAAATAGAAGCAGAAGTAAAGCTTACTGGAATTCTCAGTTTAGGGGCCTTGATGCCTGGGGAATCAAGGAAATATGGCACGACTATTGCCCCTGGTCTGTATGCACCAGTTCATCAGCATTTCTTTGTTGCCCGTATGGACATGGCAGTTGATTGCAAACCTAATGAGGCTCATAACCAGGTGGGGGTTGCCATCTATTTGCACCCTTTTTTATCCATCAAAATGCCCACAAAAAATAGTTTGCAATCTGAATGGGACCACACAAACTTCAATTATATCTCTACATCAGATCAGATAAAATAAATCGAAATGACCTTGTACCTGCTAATGTTACATAAGGTACTTAGATGAAAATTACTTCAGGCTACCAAAAAAAGTGTTTGTTCAACCATGTAATTGCCATAGAAGTACATGCTTCTTAGGCCTTAAGTTTTTAAAACCACTGTGCATTTCATGATATCAATCTGTGCCTTCATCCAATGGAGTATCTCTGTATATCCATTATATCAAAGCCGTTGTGATTGATCATTTCTCGTGCAGGTGGTTGAGGTTAATGTTAAAGTGGAAAGTGCAGGCACACATAATGTGCATAATAATGCTTTCTATGCTGAAGAGAAGTTGCTGAAGTCTGAGTTGCAAGCAATGCGTGATTGCGACCCTTCATCTGCACGACACTGGATTGTAAGAGCTTTGTTTTCTTTTTTTAACCTTTTGTTATTCCTACCCAGTATTGTTGTACCATTAAATTGTGCATCCAATACCTGGTCATTATCTTTATGCTTATGCAATTCAATAATGGTGAAAATTACGGACTGGCTGCTTTCTTCTGAGTTGTGACAACCGATGCATTTTGCTTTTCCTTTTCATATTCCTTGGTGGTTGTACCATTAATGATCTTGCATCAAGCAAATGTTAGCATAGATGTCCTTAATATTTGCACTATTGTTAATTTTCCATCAAATAAATGTCAGTATGAAACAATGCTTAAAGATGACAAATCACAAATAGAGTCCAAATACATTAATGTGTCTGCTTATTTTAACTTGTTTGCATTCTGTTCAGGTACGCAACACACGAATTTAACTTGTTTGCATTCTGTTCAGGTACGCAACACACGAACTGTAAATCGGACCGGGCAGCCTACTGGCTACAGGCTCGTGCCTGGTTCAAACTGCCTGCCCTTGGCTCTGCCTGAGGCGAAATTTCTGAGGAGGGCTGGGTTCTTGAAGCACAATCTCTGGGTGACTCAATACAAGAGCGACGAGATGTTCCCTGGAGGAGAGTTTCCCAACCAGAATCCTCGCATACACGAGGGTCTGCCAACATGGGTCAAGAAGGATAGGCCTCTGGAGGAAACCGATATTGTTCTCTGGTACGTCATAACAGACCATTTTCTTGAAAACCATTTGCCGTTATGCAGAAATTGGAACTGTTTGTTCAGCTTACATCTTGCAGAACCTGGGCCACGTTTAGTTGGTACACCAACTCGGCGCCGCCAGATTCTGCGGTCACTGTAGCTACAGTATCTTATTCGTTTTTATTTGGTAATAATTGTCCAAACTTTGATTAATTAGGTTCAAAACGTTCATCTCGTAAAGTACAACCAAACTGTGTAATTAGTTTTTGATTTCGTCAACATTTAGTACTCCATGCATGTACCACAAATTTGATGTGACGGGGAATCTTCTTTTTGCATAGTGCCAAATTCTGGAATTTGGGAGAACTAAACAGGCCCCTGATAAAACCGTGTTCTGCATCTGCAGGTACGTGTTCGGGCTCACCCATATCCCCAGGCTGGAAGATTGGCCAGTCATGCCGGTGGAGCGGATAGGCTTCATGCTCATGGTATCAGCTTTAGGTTTTTCAGTATTTCTGTTGTACGCAGTGAACCATCGGATCCCTTTGTTGCTTCTTCACAAAGGGATATTAGCCTAACTTTCGTCTACTAATGATGTTTCTGCCCTTCAGCCACATGGATTCTTCAACTGCTCGCCTGCGGTTGACGTGCCTCCCTGCTCGTCCGATGCGGATGCCAAGGAAGCCGAGTCGCCCAAGGCCATCCAGAATGGCCTCATTTCGAAGCTGTGAGCTTTTGCTATTCTTCCAAGGAAAAAATCGTCACGTGGCTGCTCTGCCTACTATTTTATCGTATTCCTCGAATAAAAGGAAACTGCTCGATGTCCGTTTGTTTGCTGCTTGGTCTGTGTTAGCTACACTTGTTTTTCTTTTTCTAAAAATGGTTTTCTATGCTTGTGCGGGCTGTGAAGCATTACATTGCTCGCGTACTAATAAAGTACGTTTTGGACTTAATAGTACCAAATTGAATATATTTGCCTCCGTGTTTGAATCTCTCCACCTTCGTGCACAAACTGCGCGCATTCAATACATTTCGCCTCCCTATTATTTGAATGTCTCCACCGTGCACAAACTGCGCTTATTCAGGGGTGTTTCAATCCAGGGACAAAGTTTAGGGTGTACGGAGGAGTGTGTACACGAATTATAGAAGTTCTTGTGATGTGTGAGACGAATTTATTAAGCTTAATTAATCCGTCATTAGTATATGTTTACTATAGGAACATGTTGTTAAATTATAGACTAATTACGCTTAAAAAATTATCTCCTAAATTAGTCTTAATCTGTGCATTTAGTTTCATAATTAATCTATATTTAGTGCTCAATGCATATATCTAAATATCTAATGTGATAAGGACTAAAGTTTAAGAAGGGAAAACGAGATTCCCAGTACAACGAGATTCCCAGTACATTTTGCTCTCATGATGTTTTCAAGAAGAATATAAAATCGGGCATCTCTCTAAAGTTGATCACATTTATTAATCAGAAATCGGGCATCTCTCTAAAGTTGATCACATTTATTAATCAGTCTGAACTCTGAAGCCACTTTCATCTTGTTGGCCGCACTATCCCTATCCGAACATTTCTGCACTTCTTACAAAACATTTATTCCGAAGTTAAATGCATGAGCAGTCTCTGAACTTATCAAAGTGTGTCGTTTAGGTCCATGAACTTAAAAAAATATATTTCTGAGTCACTAAACTTGTTAACTGATGCACCGCAGGTCCACACTGGCCATGTTGACATTTTATCTGACGTGGCACGTTATTGTAACACTGACTGTCTGCAATTTTGCATTTAACTCCTCATTTATCTTAGCCTCACCCATTATTTGCATTAAAAAAAAGAGACCGCACTCGAAGCTGCCGCTCCTCGCGCCGGCCCTGTGAGCGCGCGACAGTGAACTCGCAGCCAACGCCGACGGCCGACCATGCTGCCCGTTCTAACAACTAGCGTCGCCCGAGTGCCCGCAGCCCTCCGCTAGCAGCCTGGGGCGGGATGGGTTCTTCAAGTGTGGCGAGGCTCAGGGAGTCGTGAAGGCTCACCCATAGACGAACGCACACCAAACACCGCAGTATATACCGTGTCCGTGGAATCTCGGGCTGAATCTGGATCGGCTGATAATAGGCACCGGCCGGAAATCAGTGGCCTAGCTAAGCTAGCGTGCATGATCAGAACAACAGCTGGGAGCACGAGACACACGAAGTCAACTGTGCCAGGATCGATCGACGTACGCACGCGGCGTGCCCCAGCCCCAGGGGAACCACGCCATCCATGGACCGTGTGTGTGGTGCCTGCCGCATCACATTAACAGCATGTTCGTTTTGGCTGAAACGTGGATTATAAGCCAGAAATATCGTTGGCTGGTTTGGTGTGAGAGAAAAATACTATTACACCTTATAATCCACGATCGTATACGACCAAGCGAATATGTGCACGTGGAGTGGCAGCCGGAAATCAATGTCAGCAATGCCCAAGAACAGGACCAAGAAGGCGGTGAACAGGTACAACAACAGGAACCACATCAAGCAAATGGAGCTACTCTAATGAATGTAGGAACACAAAATACAAGCACATGTTCGCTTGGGTTTATTTAGCTTATAAATCGTACTTTTTCAGTTGACGAACAATATTTTTCTCTCACATCAAATCAGCTAATAACACTTTCAGCCCAAGCGAACAGAAAGAAGACCATCACGTCGACAGGAGCAGCACTCGCGCCTTGCTGCTGCCTGGCAATCTACACATGCATGTGGCATGCAGCCAGCTCAGGCAAACATGCAGCAGTAGCAAGGGAGTTTACGACCGTATGGTCATGATAACAATTTTTCTTTGCCAGGCCGGAACTGCGATGTCATTGCAGCTAGCTAGCTTGGTCACGACTCACGACAAAAGCTGACCGCGACTCGTTAAGGACTGATGGATCATCTCCCTTCTCCTGCCAGTGCGCGGCCGGACGCGAACAGAGAAGACGCTAGCTCTCGCCGAGACGCTGTAGGGAGCAAGGGCCATGTTACAGGCTCACAGCTACAACGAAGGTGCTCGTCCATCGGTCCTCGGTGGCTTCTCGTGAAGGCTAGGCTGCGGGCGGTTCTAGCTGCTAGTGCTGCCAACACGGTCGGCGCTGGCTGCGAGGCCACGGTCGTCAGCTCGCGGGGCCGGAGTGAGCAGCTGTGTCTTTGAGTGCGGCCCCTCTCTCTCTCTCTGTTTTTCTTTAAACACAAGTAGACGAGTCTAAGGTAGAAGAGGGGCTAAACGCAAAATACGTGCCACGTCAGATAAAATGTCAACATGGCTGGTCGTGGATCTGCGGTGCACCAGTTAATAAATTTAGTGACCTAGAAATATATTTTGAAGTTCGTGGACCTAAATAACACCTCTTACTCATGCATTTAACTCTTTATTCTGCTGTTACAGAAACAAAAATAACAACACACTATCATGTTAGCAATGTTCGCCTAAACGGATTAAACGGTCGTTTAAACAGTCAATAAACGGTGGTAAACTGTTTTGTTTAGGGGGTAAACGGAAATTAAACGGTTAACCATTTAAACGGTAAAAAAAACGGAAAAAACAGCATAAACGACCTAAACAGAACGGAGATAAACAACATTAAACGGGCTAAACAGCTGTTTAAACGGCCGTTTAGACGAACACGAGGTAAATCTAGTTCAGTTTTGTATGGATAAATTTGTATACTTAAGTTTATTATATTTATAAATATGTACATTTGATATGTTACATGTATAAATATCTATATTTGGTTCTTTTCACATGCATAAATATATATACATATCAAAATAATTGATTTTTACTCAGATAAATATGTATAAATGCTAGAATACCTGATTTTTTATATGCACATGTATAAATATATGTATTTTTTAAAAAAAATACCAAATCATTTAACTTCGTTTAAACACCGTGTAAACAGTCTAAACGCTAAACGAAGGGCGACATCGATTACCGTTTAGGAAAACATTGCAGGTTAGATTAATTCCATGCCTCACAGGGAAATTACAGTATATCCTGTTAGGTCAGAAACCAAAAAACCAGAACATTGCTACGTCATCCAGGGTGAAACCAAAAATAAAGCTTGAGATGGATGGTCCAAGGTGCAGCTACAGTTGCTCAATTTACATGATCCAAAACAATGCCATCTAGTCTATGTTCGAGAAGATAAGGCAAGGATTCATCATCTTCATAATGAGCGCATCCGGTTACTGCCTGCCTTTTCAATCAGTTTCACAAAACCGTGACTCCGTTTGCATCACTTTGACTCGTCCGTCAACTGCCGTGGCGGATCGTGGTCCAAGAAGTCCTTGACGCTGGCCGGGAACGCAACGGCCGCCGTGTCGCCGGAAGCCCTGGCGAGCAGCAGGTGCACCAGCCTCGCGGGCTCCCTGCACCCGCCGCCTTCCCCCGCCTTCCCCACGGTGGTAATGGCGGATCCAGGCGTCCAGCCTCCCCTCCTCCCTGTCGCACTTGGGGCCGACCACGCCCACGACCTTGGCCAGGAACCCGTCGGCGCCGCTGCAGTCGCACCCGCCTCCGTCGCCGTCGTCGGTGCGGCTGCTGCTGTCGCCGCCCCCCGGCGGCTGCGGTTGCGGCGGTGACAGGCCGAGCAGCGCCATGAGCCGCGCGATGTCCTCCCCGCCGCCGTCATCTTCGTCGTCGTCGTCGTCATCCTGTTGGATGCGCTGGTCCTCTTCGGTGACGGCGGTGAGGAAGTCCAGCGCCGGACCGCTGATGTCGCGCCTCGCGGCCGTGCCGCTGGGCGTTGGTGCGGGTGCTGCTGGGTCTAGGAAGAGGAGTGGGGACGCGGTCATGGTGTCCGAGAACGGCGACGCCTCGGATTGGCGCGCCGTTGCCGTTGCCGCTACCGTTGTCGGCGGCGGCGGGCTCTTCTTCTGCTCCTGATGTTGTTGCTCCGACTCCGAGGCCAGCCGGTCTTCCACCTGGAGAAGGAGAACAGACCAAGAGCGCTCGCGGCGTCAGAGGGATGGCGGCTTGTGCGCGATGGGAGAAGAGAAGAGGAGGGAAGAATGGTTCGGGGCCCACCCGCTGGAGGGAGGCGAAGAAGCCGGCGTGCCGCGAGAAAGGCTGCCGCCGCATCCTGCCGTCGCGGGGGACCGGAGTGGTGCCGGGCGGCGACGCGTTTGGGTAGGTCACGGTGAACGAGACGAGAATGAGATTGGATCGGACGGCCGCTGATCGTTTGTGTTGTTCGTACGGCCGCTGGAATGAACAAATCACACGCAGATCCATCTATTGCCATGTTTGAATGAAGTGTAGAGAGAGAGAGAGAGATCTATGCAGCACCACTGCAATGAATTTGAATTTGAAAAGCACATGAACGGAATATCAATGGGTCTGCTGGAAATCTCCAAATGTCAACTGCATCACGGCTACCAAGGCACAACACATCACAACAATCTGCATTTGGTAAATTGGCACTCTAGACTAGAAAAACCAACAATCTGCACACAAATGCAGCCGGGCGCGATGCATCTCTCTCGTCTGCAATCTGCATCGATCATCATCAGTAGTTTTAGTCTGCGCCGCCTCCACAATCGGCACCACTCTCCCTGACTCCCTCGGCTCCTCAGTAGTACGTGCACGAACCATAAGCTGCAAAACGAGCGAGCGACATTCGATCAGATGACACATGGACGAAGGACTTGAGAGCACAGGGAAGACTGGGTGGGGTTTGGTGTGGTACTTGGATCGGACTGCACGACGAGCGCGGAGTTGTTGAAGTAGCAGTTCCAGGGGTGCCTGCCGCTGTAGGCGTAGTAGAGGTTCATGGCGACGGCGGCGCGGGACACGAGGCTGTCCGGGTAGTAGCACGGCCCGCCTTTCTGGATCACCGCGCAGCTCACCTGGGAGCACGCGTAGTCCAGGTTCTGCGCCAGGATCTCGTTCGACGCCGACGGCTTGGCGATGCACCAGGTTTTCTGCAGGTCGTTGCCACGCAGACGGCAGATCCAACCACAACCAGGTTATTGTTCATTTGAGAATTGAAGATTTCAAAGGCGTATAGCGTCAAGAGCAAAGACGTATTGAAGATTTCAAGTACCTGTCCCTCCACGAGACCAACGGTGCTGCCTGCAAAACACCATGCCCATTTTAGACGAACGCTGTTTCTAGTTGAGCGCAGATGGATAGGCAGCAAAAGCTAGCAAAAGAAGATGAATAAAACTAGGCCCTAGTGAAGAACAGCCAGTGTCTACAAGTTGGCAGGGACAAATGGACTTGAGCTCACCTGAGGTGAAGTAGAGGAGCACAAGCCCCAGCGAGAAGAGCAGGAGCGATGCAGATGGCCGATCTCCTCCCCGCATCTTGCTCTGCTGCTCAGCACCGAGCACAGCTTGTGAGAGTCAGATGGGTTCCTTCCTTGCTGGGGACTAGTGGCTCTGCTCTCAGAACTGTCTGCACTGAAGAGTGAGGAGTAGTAGGGAGCTAGTTTATAAAGCGCGCGTTTAGTTCGCGAAAAGTGCGAAATTTGGCTACTGTAGCAATTTCGTTTTTATTTGGTAATTAGTGTTCAATCATGGACTAATTAGACTCAAAACGTTCGTCTCGCAATTTCCAACAAAACTGTGCAATTAGTTTTTATTTTCGTCTACATTTAATGCTCCATGCACGTACCGCAAGATTCGATGTGACGGGTACTGTAGCACTTTTTGGGAAAACTTTTTGCAAACTAAACAAGGGCAAAGGCAACTTAGGGAGAGGATTCCCCCCTGCTTGATTGCCTTGTTGATTAGAGTAGGTGACACTGACTCACCTTGCTAGCTGGGATGCTCATGCATGTGACGGCGTGAATTTGTGACCCGCACAGGTCTCTCTGGCTTCGACCCAAGGCAACCAACCATGTGCTTCAGCAGCATAACAAATACTCAAATAGTACTGGCGATCTTGTTCCGGTCCGCGATCGATCTCTCTCTCTCCCCTCGTCAGTTTTTTGACTGTGCAGTGCAGTGCATCTTATCTTGGGCCCCCTCATCTGATCACAAAGCCTGGTGGATCCACACAGGACATTTTGGCCCACGTTGACCAACTCCTGGTTATTATCCACAGGTTTCTGTCCCCAGTCTAGCCTTTCTGATCATCTGATGTATGCTAGTCAAAGCAGGATCAATATGGAGGAATTCTCAAAAAAAAAAAGGATCAATATGGAGGAAAAAAAAAGGCACTGCTCAGGATCGAATTTCTTTCAAATTTGAGCTTACAGTTGTACTGCTTCCCAACAGAGCTGAAGAATTGCCCCTTTTCTCTACTAACAAGAGTTTCTATCCACGGATGGCTCTACAATAAACAGAGAGAGCCACCCGTGATTACCAAATGATGCATTACTTTATCTGCTCCTGATCCATGTGGGTTCCATTACTGCGAGAGCGAGATAGAGATAGATCCAAAAATCAAATACTAGCCCCTGGCCGTAAAAGATGTCATCACTCAGAACGTACCTTGCTTTGTTCCTTGTTCTTGTCGTTACGCCTTTTCCATTTGGCTTTGCTCCTGCTCTCCCACGCCAGGCGGAGGAACTTGAAGCGATCCATTCACAAAAACAAAGCCACATCTTGAGTCTAGTACTTTTTCCCCCTACTTTGCGTGGAAAGAGAGAGATTGAATTGATTTCAGAAATGTTCTCAAAGTTCGGGAACCTTTTTTCTCGAAGCAAAAAAAAAAAAAAAAAAAGATTCTCGACTGAGGCACGTTTTTTATTAAAAGGAAAAAGAGTTGTTAACAACAACGGTAATAAGAGATTACCGCAAGCAAACGCACAAAGAATAAAGTAGATTACATGGTCAACAATGTGCAACTCAAAGCAAAATGTTCACAAACCTTCTGCAAACACCAACACAGTCGAAGCAGAACAGAGAAATTCTTATGGCACAACATAGATCTAAACTGCTCTATGTATTACTGGAGCCAAAAGGCCGCAAGGCAACTAGCACAAGAAGCACATGCTGCACCAAACTCATGTGTCCTGCACAATCCAACTAAGGAAAATGGACTAGAAAGCGCTGGGTGTGAAAACGGTACGGAAATATTCTGAACCGACCGCTTTCTAAATATTCCGAACTGAGCGCTTTCTAGTCCATTTTCCTTATTACATTGTGAAAACTCATGTGTCCTGCACAAGAAGCAAAGGTATCACATCTTACAGCTTCCTTCTGATTCCGCTTGATACCCTTCCCGTTCTGCAAGCAAAGGCCTAGGTTGTATTGAGCAGGAGCATTGCCTGCAGATGCTGATGGATAAAACCATCTAATGGCTTCCTCGGCATTGGGTGGATCAGCTGCGGAAATATTTAGCAGCAATATCAGGCGCAATGCCTTGAGACGAACAAGAAGATTTATCGCTAACTAACTAATAAATAACATGCTTGACTACACTGATCAATTATTAGTGGATTCTTTCTTTATTACTATGCAGAGTTTAGAGTTGGACATAAACAACCCAAAGTTTACTAAATGAATCGCAACATCAAGAGACAGCGACAGAGCACAGTGGACAGCTTCCCCAAAAAAATATTACTTAGAATGGTTCAAAAGTCCTGCAGATAAAACTAACAGTGCGCATATATAGAATATATAAGATGAATAGAAGAGTAACCCTTCCTGAATTCCGAATGTTTCTACAACCACCTAGAACAAGTCTCCTGAAAGCTAACCCCGTGAAGCGTGAACCAAATCCACCAATACCTTCGAGGTAGGAGACTCCAAGGTTGCACATCCCAACTGGGAACGAAATCCTCTGCAGCCGCTCCCACGGACGGCGCCATGCAGTCACCAAATCTCAGCTGCTCGTTGTGGATCCGATAGCTATGGGCTCCAACCAAGCTTCCATGGCACGCTTCGTCAGCTGCGCTGGGCCTCGGCCCAACAACAGCATCACGCTGCTCGGGTTTTTGGCACTACAACGAGCGTTTTTGGCGCGAGGCTGCGGCAGTAGGCGCGCTTTCCATATTTTGGCGCGAGGCTGCGGCAGTATGCGCTCTCTCCGTATTTTGGCGTGAGGAAAAGCCTAGAGGGGCGATCATCTAGAGCTGGAGCTAGGTCGCCTTCGAGGGCAGGTGTGTCGCTGTTCATTCTGATTTGTTCCTGTGTGCTCAAATTGCAACGTGCATTGCTGTTTTCTCTTCTCACCAATCTTATCCAGATTGCAAGGGTTAGGTCCTAATTTGGTTGCTTTTGTCCTATACCAAAACAAAATCTGCATATTTTAGATGGAAGATTGAAGGAGACATCAACTTGCCCATATTGAAATCAAATCTGCATATTTGACATGGAAGAAAAAAGGTTTGTAATGCCATGGATGTTCCTTGTTCTCTACAAAATTAGATAGACTTCAGTTCCTTTACCACCAAATCAAATATCCTTGTCATAATTATTTTTTCTTGTAGTAGGGAGGGTTTGCTTCCTAATTTGTTACCTCAAGTTGGAATGAAGTTCAGTACTATAGATGATGCTTGGATATATTTGATTAGCTATGGAGGTCAAAATGGTTTTAAGGTTAGAAAAAGGTACGCAAACAAAAGAAAGACAGATGGGAATGTTCGGTCCTGCAGATATGTTTGTGTAAATGAGGGTCATAGAAAACAGGATAAAAGGGATCATGTAACAAAGTATTCAAGAGTAGAACTTATTGTAAAGTTCGCATGGTTCTTGTAATGGATTGAGAGAAGGAAAACTACAAGGTGTCTGATCTGATTTTGGAACACAATCACGACCTTTATTTGCCACAAACCTCGCACTTGATGATGTCTCAAAGGAAAATTTTAGAGTTACAAGGTTTTCAAATTGAGACAGCTGGTGATGCTGGAATTGGTCCTAAAGCTGCACATGATTTGGCTAGTCTCCAAGTTGGTGGCTGTAACAGAACCGACCAATTATACGAAATTAAGTGAGAAAATCATCCGCCAGGGCAGACGATTTAGCAAACTTAAGCCCGTATAACCCGGTAGTCCGTGAAATCACGAAGGATTTCAAACCAACTTCCATTCCAGCCAAGATCGTAATAAGTTTAGCGGTCACCATCACATATTACATAAAAGTTCGCAATCTCAGGTACATCAGAGTTTAAACATAGTTATTACAAAACCAGTTCGAATAAAAGTAGCGGAAGCCAATTGTTCAACCACACACTCACGTGGAGTTCAAATATAGTGCCAGCGAATGATCATCTCCAACAAAAGCATTAGACGAGACGTAAGGAATGACCATGCCCATGGTCCTAAGCATCACCCATCGCAGGATAAAGGCAGTTGATACAATAGCCGTAATATATCTGCCCATCTGCAACAAGTGGGAATAAAACCACGAGTACGAGAAGGTACTACCTAGACTTACCCGACATAACCGAAAAAAATAAATGACACCAAGGATTATGAAGGCTTTATAGTAGGGTAGCTGACTCATTTGCAAAAGAAGCATTTTTAGCATTTCAAGAACCCTTCTAAAAGCATTATTGTCAAGTTAATTATTATTAACCTGTCGACTAGATTTGCACCTATACTAGAGCACACATATGATTAAGCAGATAATGATAACCACTGATCATTAAACAACTTCCATACTGTCATATTCACTATAACTGTCCAAGTGTTCCATAAACATTTACTACGATGAAGTCACTCAAGTCAAGTGCTCACTATCCGAGAGCGATGGCGATTTGAATCGATTCCTAACCCGGTGGTGATTTATTCCTTACACAAACCTCACTCACCCGCTAAAGTGAGATATTGATCACCGAGTCAACTTTCCGGTATCTCGAGTTTGCCAGAACCACATGTACCGGGGGCCGACCGACCGGCGCACTTTGGTCTTATCATCCCGCCCCGTGTCCTACCACACTGCTCCAAGCACAACGGCGCTGCGGGCAATCTACTCGGCCGAAAAAAATCTCCCGGCTTCAGCGGTCGGAAGGTACTTTATCCGCCACTAAATGTAAAGGCATCGTTCAACATGACTCGAGGCCCAACAACGGTCGGTCCTTAATCGACACTGAGATGGAAACACTACGGTCCAAAACTCTGCAAGTCTCCGTCCGGTCTCAACTTCATTTAACACTTAGTTATATCATGACTTCATAGTCATCAAAGCAGATCCAGGTAACCACCTATAGCTCGCAGGTGACAGGAAATCACCCGACTTCTACCGGTCTAAGCCCGCCTAAGCATTGACTTGATTGCGGATACCGTGGTAACAAGGATATAGTATAACAAAGGTAAACAAGGTATAATGCAGCAACGGTTGCAAACAACTCCTGAACGTAATGCATCAATTTAAAGTAAAGCATTTAATGAAATCATTGCAAACCGGGAGAAAGA